CGAGAGCCAGCTCCTGCTTATCGAGGAACATCTTGGGTATCTTCCGCCCTGGTACTCGTATCCACGTCCTCTGTCTGGGCTGCGAAAACTTTGCTGATATGTGACTCGGTCGAAGTGACTTTTTTTGCCCCCCCCCCCCTGTAGATTCCATATCTGGAGCTGGAGAAGGCGTGACTGAGTATGTCATTCTAATGTGGCGTTGGCCACGCTCCTAATGGGATGTTTTCGTGCCGGACGATTGTCACCTCGTCTTTGCCCAGCACGAAGCAGGGTAACAATTGGCTCAAATCGTTATATACCACAAAATACGCATTCTTTGCTGTATCAAATAAGGAACGCCGCCTTCCCCTGCCATCCGCAAGCTGTGGAGTGCTCCTACGTAGAATGTCCTCATCATCATCTCATGCAATCTTGCCAAGCCATCAATACCAGTAGAGTTGCTTTCTGGTCCAGTTGGTCGGTCATTGAGAGGTTTTGAAGCTTATGGATGGGTTCACCAGTTGCTTTTTGACTTTTTCGGAAATTGATTCATATGTGTCTCCTCGGAAATACCCCTTCTCGGGAAGATTGAGGGACTATAACGTAATCTGCCGAACTACAGAGCTTGTTAAATTGAAGAATATTCCTCAGTAAAATAAACAGTTTGTGAGTAAGAAAGCTAACCGCTCGAAATTCACTTCCATTGCATTCGTTTGCACAGTGAAATGGCGGATCCTTCATGCGGCTAACTAGCTCATCGCTGAAACGAGCATACTTGGTAGCATTACCACCTGTGCTCATGTGCTGAAAGAGGAATTTCAGTGAAAGATCACGATCATGGACTGCGGTTCTAAAATATCATTGCAATAGGCTCTGAATGAGGTTTCAGAGGCACCGAAACGATACCCAAATGGTACCAAACTGTAACAGCCACAGAAATCCGGCAAAATTCAGTGCTGGAACTTCACACTTACATCTGTAAGCACAAGTAGATATTGGAATGCTTCTCTAGCTTCTTCATCTCGACCGTCGTTGTGAGCATCCGCGTCTACCCACATGTATCGCTGCTTACCACCAAGTTGCGGGACAGCTGGAAAAAAATACACTCGGAAGACAGACTTTCCTATTTAAGTAGTGCTAGTAGTCACAGAAGGTCGATCTCACTGAATCCTTTTGATTTCACATTAACGGAGATGAATACGTATTCCGGGTTGAGGTATCCTCCGTCCATCAGGTGCAGCATGAAATCTCGCATAGAAATTTCCGGTACGCAAAAAATAACTACTGAAACCAAACGAAATTGCTCTTGTGTGAGAAGTGAAGCTATTGATAAACGACATGAGGGAAAAAAGAAAGGTTTCATGTTGGAGACTCCCACATATTAAACTGGAAAGAAAGTCCTGGCAGTCTCTCTTTTGATTTGCTTACAGCTTTTGATTCTTAAAGCAACGGTCCGCGGTGACCTACGAAAATGCAAGAGGTTATGTGGGAAGGTAGTGCGGTCCGGAGTGGACAACCCTGTGCCAGTTTTGCGGCGGAAAGTTGTACGGTAAAGGAATTAAGGCACAAAAAAAATGCTTCAGTGGTACACCCCTTTTCCAGTGACTCCGCCTCCAGACTCCGCCTCCAAAGTCGGCCTTCCAGCCAAAAGTAATGCTCCCGGGCAAGTATCATGGAGTGGATGCATTCAATGTCTCTTGTAGAGTCATAGGGTTCATTACTAGGAATCAGCGACGGGAATCGTCCCAGCGGGCGATCTTTTCGGTCTTTTACCTCTACACTTGTCTGAGGCTAGAAGAGGTCTAACGATTTGCGTTTCCAACGCTCCCTTCGACGTTTTTCTCTTCATAGAAGGTTCACTTAGCGATTTTCTTCCGCTTTCTCAACATCACCTAAGCTTTTTATCGCGGAGCGCGCCTTTAATGCCTAAACATGATGCAGCATGCTATGCTTTTGCTTGCTTGCTACTCTTGAAGCTTTCTCGCGGGAGGTATAGGAAGTCCCCTTCCGTGCTTCGGAATTACGATGACTGTTTCACAGGAGCATCATTGAGTCATCATCTTCTATGAGTGGCTTCGCGGCACTAGAGCAACCGCAACTGTCCGCAACATCAACAGTGCTTTGCGGGAGGACGCCTCCACCATCAGGTCTGTTCACCGCTGGTTCGTTCGCTTCACGAACGGAGACACGATCTTGGGAAGCAAACCTCGTTCGACCTGTCAAAGAGGATCCAGAGGGTAGCACCAGCAGCCTTGCGACGAGACTCGGATGCACCCAACTGGGAATCGTCAACCTCTCTGAACCGTTATCGAAGAGTACTGGCTTAATGTGTCCTTGATACCTCGAAGGTTGACACTTGACACACCCGAATACCCATTTATCAGTCTCCCCTTCTCCACCCTCATCAAAAGGTGTTTCTGGGAGAGTGGTCAGTGAGATGAGAGGAGGGTTCTCTATGATTTCACTCCATACAGTACCGTGTGAATCCCTCGAGCAGAAGACCCAACTAGCAGGCCAAACCGGGCATGCATTCCGTGAGGGTTCTCCTGTGCTGCTTCTAGGAGGCGAGGGAAATGCTGCACAAAAAGCTGCCTCTGTAAGAAAACACGATCACCGCTACTATTTGTGCTGCTCAGTTCCGGGACCCGTGCACATTGTTGGAAAAATGGCCGAAACTAGCTTTAGTGCACCTCATTCATGTTGCCGCGAGACCTCGCACTGCTGTAGACACCTACCAAATAATTGAGGAGCAAGGCTGGGAGATAACACCCCGCTCACCATAATTTCCTGACCTAAGCCCTGCGACTGCTACCTGTTCCGCTCCCTGAAGGCTTTCTTATAAAAGAAAACTGCCAGCAAGCTTGATGACACCAGTCGAGTGGTCGCCGACATGTTGGACTCGCAGCCTCCATACTTCTTGGAGAAGGGGATCGCTGATATGCACGTTAGGGGGAGCACGGTCATGACTAAGAATGGCTATTATACTGTAGATAAAAAAGGAAATAATCGCAACAGTGACAGGACTTTCTTTACACCCTAATGCTATGCAGGAGCCTCCAGGTTCGGTCTCCTTGAAACCTCTCGTGTAGCCATGATTGCGTGGTTTTGCGCCGTACGAGGTTTTTTTGTGAAGCAGCCTTTCATTGTGTCTGCCCTTTCAACCAACTCGTTGTTGCCAAAGACTTGAAATTGCTCTAGCGCTCTTGTTTTAATCTAGATGACCAGGAGGTTTATCGCTATTTGCCACTTGCAACAAGTCTCATGAGCTCGGAATCGAATGAAAGCTCCAATAAACCGACTACTCTGCAACGGCTCCATCAGTTACTGTCACTCGCACGATGACTTGAAAAACCAATTGCATAAGTGACTTGTGATATGTCTCATAGTCCACACAGTGGTATACAACGGGGGCAAAAAAAGTCACTCCGACCGAGTCACATATCAGCAAAGTTTTCGCAGCCCAGACAGAGGACGTGGATACGAGTACCAGGGCGGAAGACCCAAGATGTTCCTCGATAAGCAGGAGCTGGCTCTCGCCCATCACCTTCATGTACACCAAAATATGAAGTCATCTCCAGTCGCAGCCTGACTGGAGAAGACCTCACCTCCAAACAGCTGCGAAACTTCTTGAAGTCACCCATGGACAGCTACCTGGAGACCGGCACTCTTGATCTGGAAGACCTCCAACATCGAGCAGCTCCGACAACGTCGCTACGGTCTAGGATATCATCTTCACCGCAGTCGCCAAGGCGCGGGTTGATGGTATGGACCGGAAGTCTTCCCGCCATGTCATCGCCTGTACCTCTTGGTTGGCAGACTCTATGTACAGGATTGGTGCCTTTCACACTTATCGAAGGGCGTTAAAAACTTTGCCGCCCAACTTTGGAATGACAGACCTGAGTCCCTAGAGAAGGCGGAGTATCCCCGGTTCGGACGAAGTTTGGATAGGCGTGGTCTAAGTGGCGGAGATCTCGCTGAACTCATGTTACCGAAATCACGGTCGCGTGGCAGAATCTCTCGATGGCGCTCGTCCAGACGGCTGTGACGGAGCATCATGATAGTATACAATATGCTGTTAAATATGGTTGTGGACATTCCCGTCGAATTTATTTAGGGTAACTCATAGCACCCTGAAGTCAAGAAGAAGTGACTTTTTTGGCCCACCATCGGCCACCCCCTTTTGGGTCTGGCTACAGTGTTCTCATGGTCTCGTAATTCGTTGTATGTTCAAAGAATCACCTGTAGCCATCATGCACTCACCCTGGTTGTTCAATTTTGGACTTCGCACGCCCATCAAGAACGGTTCTGGAGCTTCTCTGTCATCGATGTCATCAGTTAGGTTTTTTTTTTGTTCTTGAGTTACAAAACTAGACATCGAGCGCGAGTGTCAAGCGCCGGGGGAGCCTGGCCAGGTTAAGACAATTTTACGGAATTACTACTTTAGTTCCAAATTCTGACAGTTTTGCAACTGGCTAAGAACGATAACATTCCTGGCCGATTAGCTCAAAAATAGAAAAGCTCTCGAGTCATCTCAAGGTCCTTGACAACAACGATTCAGTCAGAACCGACAGTGCAACGACTCCATCATAATAAGCGTGTAAAGCCATAGCGCAATAGAATACCACAGTCTTCAATACGAAGGCTTCAGATTAAATATAGAGGCTGTTTCAGTGAAATGGCGTTATTCACCAGAAAGAAGGGTCGAAAGGAATAAAGACTACCGTACTTCGTGCACGTTGTTTGGCTTGTTCCATCGTTCTTTTAACGGTGTCTAGAGATACATCTTCCATGTGACCAACATAGTTGATAGATACGACGCTCATCACCTTCTGTAATGAAAAACATAGCTAAAATGGCCGTTCTCCTCTTCACTAGCAACCATTTCGGTTCACGAACTGTAATGTTATACTGTTTGTATAGTTGATATCGTCATTTGACGGGTGGACCTTGGAATCAACCCACGCCCTTCGTTTTCCGCTTGCAGTGGCCAGAACAACCAACGGTGTGAAGGCCACGGGGGCGCTGTTTGTCGACGGGGTGCGCGAGGCCATTTGCACTGTCATTGCTTCCTCAGTTCCGGTTTACATGTCTCACTCTGGCGAAACCTGTGAACTCTTGTGAAGCTGGAACAAGGAAATCAAGCATCAAGCCGCCATGTTAAAACCTGTCAACTCGAGAAGAGGCTGTCTAGATAGGCCGACACGTCGATGGGAAGTAGCGAAAGTGCAAAATGCCCCCCCCGTCGACAAACTGCGCCGGCCACTGGTGAGCTGATCCACCATTTTTGGCACAACCCTACGGATTAAGACGATATCAGATCTACTCACAGATTGATTTAATTTAAGGCCACATTTCAGTAAGAACTTTTCAACTTATCTGAATCCTTCTGGCAGAACTTAGTCAACAAACCTCGATGTCACTTTTCACAGTACTGCATGCATCGTCAACGCCACCGTAGTCCGAATAAAGCACAGCGAACTGGTACCAATCGAATGAATGCAACAACACTCTCACAGCAACGCCGAAGCTGTAAAGTATATAGGGTCTTTAGCACATGTAGTTCCTTGCAAATTGTGGTGCGACACCTTTTAGCTGTATATTACAAGGGTCTCGATGGACGTTTGAAGCTGCGAAGAGGCCGCCTTCACCACTTGCTGCGCGATTGAGTGAGCAAATCTTTTATCATACCCCGCCTAGGCGGTCAGTACAGGGTGCTTTCACGATGCCGTAATCCCGCATTTTATGTTTTTAAAGATAAATTGTACACTCAACTTCGGTACTTGCCGTGTGTAGGTTGAATAGCGTGGCGCGCCTTGCCAATGGCTGCGTCACTTTCTTCATTCGAAGGTGTACGGGAACGGGGTTGGAGGGTGCCACCTCAATACTTCGCCCGCGTCGCCGTCGGCCACACGCGTAACCATAGCCTATCGCCTATCACTTCAAATCGCCTCCCTGCCAAAGCTGTGTTCCGCAACGATTTATGGTATGTAGTGGTATCGACGCGAGTGCTGCTGCGTAGCAGGATGGCGGCGAGCCGCGACTTAGAGGCACACGCGCTCCGAGTGATACCAGTCATCCACTCTCCTTCCCAGGCACTTCTGATGAAGAAGCCGAACAAAGCCCTGCGACTGCGATGCGCCTTGTCTCTAGAATTAGGGTACATGTCAGATTGTGTCGTAAAAACTGACGCGCGCAAATTTGTGTCTGTTTTTCAAAAAGTTACCACAGCCAATTTCGTGAAGAAAAATGTCTAGAAAGAAAAAAGTGTGATATTTTTCAACTCAAAATAAGCATGTCTCACCTGTACGTGCTCACCGAAAGTACACCGACGGTTGGAAAACGCTCACTGTCGTGAAGCGCTGA